TGGAATTCAGGCACAAAGATACTTTTATATGTGTATATTTTTATGAAATCAGCATTCCATTTTTGTTTCATTAGAGGTCAGTTTCTTAATGCTAGATATTAAACTTCAGTCTCACGACAATCCTTTTGCTGTGAGTGGTACTTCATCTCTAATGTGTTTATTATAAGTTAATATAAATTACCTTCAGGTCTTCTCAGATTGCCTAATGTTGCTACAATTTGTGTAGGTTTTTCAGTAGGAAATACATTTCCTTCAGGTCTTCTTGGATTGCGTAATGTTGCTGTGGTTTGTGTAAGTTTTTCAGTAGGAAATACGCTTCCTACATACTTAATGTCCGTTTTCCTTTCATTTACTCTTCTAATGCTGTACTAATTTTTCTAGCAGTTTAATGCAAGATACTGATTTATTAAGTTAATACTTGCCTTAAGTCCCATTCTAGCATGTTTCTGATAAAGAAGGTAAAAAATCTGAGTAACTGGCGTTATAACCATTTTCAGTTCTGAAAAAGATACTCTTTATTCAGTTGGCTTTAATAGCACTTGCAGGGATCCACGTTATGACGAATTTGTAGAAATTTTGTATACAGCCTTAAAGTTCCCAACTCCTTGCTCCTGTTAACCTGAGCTACAAATGTGTTTACCAGTCATCTCCGCACTGTGAAGCGAAGGACTGGCAATACATGGAGAACTCGGGAAGCTCTTGACTTACAGTAGATTGTGACAGCTTTCAGCCCTAATGCAAGTAAATACCTACAGCTAGTGTTTGAGCTGAATTTCATTTCTATTTAATTTGGTGGTTTAGGATATGGACTTACACATTTAACACAATATCTTTTGTATTACCCTACTCCTGAGACGATGGGGAACAGAAGCAAATACTGTATTTAATGGACAGTCTTTGTGCAGCAATGCAGATGAAACCACAGAAGGTGTATTTGAGGCTCTCCGTTGCAGCTGAAGGGCAGAATACTCACATGAGTTGATGTTGGATGTCGGCTCTCGGAGTACCCGCTGTCCTTGTACAGCACTTGGTAGCGCGCTACGGCTTCGGTGTGTAACCTGACTGCCAGCAGGCACGCCCATGCACACGTCGTGGGCTTCAAAAGGAAGTCCGAGGCCTGTGGGACGGGCCATGTTATTCGCTAACCAGGCTCTGCTTTCTGTACAGCAGCTGCTTTGCTCCAATAGAAAAGCCTTTCTTGAGAGTACAGTAACAGCAAGAGTTTTCACGTATCTGTATCAGGGGTGTAATTATTTGGAAGTAAAGCTTGCAAAACAAACCTTGTTGCTCTTTATACACTTTTTGGAATGTATTGTATTCTTGCTTGAACCTGTCCAGGACAACTTTACTCCATAGATCTGCTGCTCCTGCTTAAAAGTGGCATCTCTTCACCTTTTGGGCATTCCTAAGTCTGATTCAGTCTTACAGTCCTGCATGTACGGCAACAGAAACATGTTTTAAGTTTGTCACCTAACAGCTAAGTGTAAGTTGAGCTGCTCCTTCTGTTGTGTTTAATTTCTAGTCAGTGAATGAAAAGATATGTGAACAAGATCTTAGCTAAATTCCTCCTTAATCTTAGGATGAGAGAGCAAAAAGCTTTGAAAACAAAGATTGCTTGTGTTGGGGGCTACTAAGCTAGTGACATGAAATTGCTGTAAAACTACTACCTTACTACTAAAAGCTTCATTAAACATTCAGTTTAGAAGAGGTTGAGGTTGAAAGAAAACAGGATGAAGTTACTGTAACCAGGGTACCAGAGAAATGATTCTAAAAGGAACCAATTCAGGCTGAGAACCAGCGTGGTCTTTCTTGTGCCCAGCATCCATCTGTGTTTTCCCCATCTGTCCTCTTTCCATGTAACATCATGGTTACCAAGCCTCCATCTGAGAAGCAGGTTTAATAAAGTTAAATAAAACTTAATACAATAGAAGTGTATTACTTGTGCCCTGGGAGCTGCTGTGCACACCTGCCCACTGATCACAGAAGGGGCTAGTAAAGATAAAGGGGGGTGTGTGTGTGTGTGTGTTACATGCTCAAGTAAGTAAGACAGTATAGGAATTCTCTTGAGCTCAGGATTTGGTCTCGGAGGGAGACTATCAAGTATTTGAAAGAAGCAAAAGTCCTGTGACAAGCAGATGTAGATGAGAGGTACAAAAAAAATTCATAATGCTTAATAACCAACAGACACTGTGTACTTTGTGGCAGCTTAGTATGTGTCATTCAGCGTGGAGGTATGGTAGGTACTTGTGGCTTATGCTCCAGTTCACTGACTCATTTCAGGTACTGGTGTACCTCAAGTAGTGGGGTTCCTGTTAGCAGTAGTGAGAGTTCTGTGGAGTGACAGCATACTGTATAATGTGTAGGCAAAGTTCCAGATGTCCTTTAAAATGAGGAGCAAAAAAATACTGTCATGGCAAATGGGTGGGATTGATGAAAGCTGTGTGCACTAGAGCAGACAGCAGAATGGGCAGGGGCAGAAGGAACCAGCTATGAGAGCTACCGGCCCACAGGACAGCAGAGTGTACAGGTGCTCAGCGTAGGACTGCCCCGGAACCAGGCTGCTCGCTTTAACCGTTGCTCTGTACCTCAAACAGATCTTACTTTAAGTTAGGTCATATGACAGGTTACCTAAACAGTAACGGAACCTTGCAGAAAGTTGAGTCTTGCATTTCCAGCCTAGATTGATTAAGGCTGGTTCATGTTCTTAGCTTGTGCTGATCTTCTCATTTCCTTGTGCTTGATTTTTGTACCATCTAGGGTCATTCCAATCCGTTTAACTCAACTTTTTTTGTTGCCTTTATTGCATAATACAGGCTATCTACCTGCTGCTTTCTTGTACTGCAAAAGATTTCATTTGAATTCTTATTCCTAAGCCTCTGAGGTGGGACGTAATACTTGCAAAGGAGGTCTCCCGCCTGCCTTGTCCACTGAGGAGCTGTTCACTGTCAGATACGTGCTAGAACTGCACCTTTCAGGCCTAGAGCAGACGTGTGACTATAGTTGATCACAAGGTGGCTTCACCCATCACTTCCGGAGAGCAGTCTTCCAGCTTACTGTAAAGTCACAAACCAAAGCATAAACCTAGTGTTCCTCTATACACAGGGACGTCGCAGCCAAGGTCCTTCAGAATTCTGTCATGAGGCAGCGTTCCTCGCCGCACGCTCTATAATGGTTACTGTAACGAGTTAGCACATAATCCTCCCTCGCCTGTGGCCAGGTCTCTGTTTTCATAAAGCCTAAACAGGCGTACAAGACCGCGTTTCCCATTTACAATTCCTATACTCAGCAGAAAAGGGGAAAGACGTCTGTGGGCATCAGAGCAGGCACCGCCTGGCTGACTGCCTGCAGAGATCAGGCAAGAGAGAAAAATGCTTTCATTTTACATAACCCTGCTGTGTGCTGGCAGAACAGAACACAATCATCAAACAACCCACAGCTTCTAAAAGTGGTGGAAACTCTTGGCACTAATCCTTCATCTTTGCCAAAACTTTTCCTACTGCCACATCTATGATTACTTAACGTATTTCCTCAGTGAATCTCCACTGTTAATATTTGTCCCAACCATCGTGCTGCTGGGGAGGAGGCAGAAAACAGCACGACAGCTCTGACTGAACGGCTCCTTCTCATAGGAACGAGAAGAACGCTCTACCTCAAGTGTGTTTCTGTTGCATTCATGTATATAGCAAAAACCAAGCGAACAAACAGACCCCCTAGTTGATATACGTAAGATGACATGACATTATCAAAATGCATTTTTTATGAAATACTACTGCAAAGAGAAGTATTCCCATCTTCATGTGCCACCCCACCAATAAAGGCAGCCTTGCCGCAATCATCTAGTTTCCTCCTAAATCATTTCAGGTACTCAACAGGCATCCATACTGCATCATTCCACACTTTATTTAAGGTAAACATTGCAACCTTTATACAGTGTTCTTTTTCTCATGGAGTATTTTACAGTGACAGTTTAGCAGTAAGTGTAAATTACAAAGAAATCGCGACCGACTGTGCCTTTAAAGCACGTACGCACCTGGTCCCTTTAATTACACAGACTAGGCACAATGTACCTCCTAGAAGAGCATGCCGCTTCCTTTGGGAATTACTTTTCAGGCATTTAAAAAAAGTGGCCAAGAGGATGGCTTATACAGACTTGCTGCAGAAGGAAGCAGACTACTTAAAAAGAGTATGAAAGCAACCGAAATATTAGGGATGTGAATGCCCAATGACCCGTTTAAAAATTACTGGTTTGGAATGACGGCAAGTTTCGCAGAAGGGTCCCTAACTACAATTTACAATGGAATAGTAGCCAGACCGGCCAAATAATGCCTTTCTGAAACCTCAGTAGAGTGTCATGGTTCAAAAATCCTACTCTTAAATGCATTTTCAAAAATAAAATTCCAGGACTTGCAGAGATAAGGGAAA